TACTTGTGTGAATCTGTGTATCTGTGGTAACATGATCTTGTGAATACTGGATTACAGCTTGTTAAAGGAGAGTAGCTAAGATGATTATTAGGGGTGGCCAAAGGCACTTTGCTGTACAACACATATATGTGTGTAGATTAGACTGGCCATTGAAACTGTCTTCAGTACTAGCAATGGGATAGCAACAGGCTAGCCTATTGAGTGCATAGGAGCTGTGTGAAAGATGATTATCCCCTCTAATATCTTAATGTCTCCTTGCATCCTCTGTCACCTAAGGCAACTGCTTCACTCTGTCTAATAATAGGGCCAGCACTGATAATCACCAGTATCTGTACTTGCATTTTCATTGTCCATTATCCCTATTCCATGTAGGCATGTGTATAAATAGCTGCTTATTCCAGTGACACTTAGTGGTAGGTCAACTGAAATACAAATAACTTTTTTTAAAAACCCAAAATCCATAACTCTTGAGCAACATACACTCTGTGCGCTGCATACTGAGAATACTGAAGTTTGATTTGCAATAGTATATAATAATTCCTATTTTGGTTCCTCTTCTGCCTTCCAGCATTCAAAATTATTTGGAATTTCCACCATTGTTTGATCATACAAATTATTTAAAAATGCTGTTCCTTTGAGCTGTTAGAGAAGAGGTGGAATAAGCTATTAATAGACTATATCACTTCTGCATATTTTTACTTGGAATTCCATTTCTTTCTGTTTCCACATTGGTCACTGTATTAGTCATATCACACTAAGCTTTTCAAATTCATATTTTCCCCTCTACATTGTATTTAAAAAGTTTTTTTTCTCTCTAACTGTGCATTGAAAGACATATTTGGAAATATTTATGCTGCTGAAAACTGCATCATCGCATCTGGAGATGTATGAAATCCAAGAGAATTCTGTATACTGTATTAATACAAGAAGTGTGGATCAGGTCACTTAAGGGAGGAATTTATTAAGATTGAATGTCTTAAGTATCCTGGGGAGGTAATGCACCAGTTACCAGAAAAATGATGGGGGAAAGTAGGTTTGATGCTGATGAGGCAGTGCTGTCGTAAGGTCATAGACAAAGAAACAGTGTGTAGGAAAATGGCATTTGTCATAGTATCCAGGCTGTCCATCTAGATCCTTGATCATTGTGCTGTGTGAAATTACATGTCTGAAGTGATTGGGAACAATATGTTGCTAAAATTAACAGCTCCTTAAATACAAGCATGTCTGACTGCAGCTTATCAACCATGTCTAAGTAATGAATTCTGTTGGCTGACCATGTTGACTGTGTAGAAAAAACTATTTACTCTTCTCTTTTGAATTCACAGTGATGAATGTTCTGTGAAAAGGGAGGGGGGTGCATAGAATTAGACGGAGAATTTTTCCTAGACTTGTCCAAATTGATGTTCCACTTTTCTTCCACAACAAAAGAGGATGCTGCTTTTCTACCTCATCCTCAGGGCTCTAATTTAGATTTTTTTAAATCCTCTTGATTTCCCCCCCATTTCCCCCCTTCTTCTTAGTATATATATTTTAATTGCTAACGCACAAAGGCTCAAATCCTCTTACCTAGTTATGTTAATATAAGCACAAACAGCATAGCTTTTGGAGGTGAATTGCCCCAAAGTAATTGATGTCTTAACAGGACAATTCCCCTCCAAAAGTTAGCAGCTACACAAAAGAACTTTGGCCTATGTGTATCAAGGGCATTCAGTGTGTATTTTTCTTTCCTTCCCACAGTGCTTCATTATTCTGGTTCAAACAACAACCAAACTGGAGGCCAAATTTGGTTTCAAATTAAGCGTTTTTACACAAGCAATGCAGAACTAGAGATGGGGATATTCGTATTCGTATACGAATACATATATTCCCAGCACAGGTGGACGTAAGGTGGGTTCTGCCCCTAGGACCAGACTGTCCACTCACGTGTCTTGCATGGCACCAGTCCCACTTGTCCTGCCAATGGCACCTGGAGCTCTGCTCTTCCTGCTTGGCTGGCTGCTCCGGGCAGGGGGTGGATGAGTCTCTCCGCATGGCTGTGTCAGGGATATTTGTATTCATATAGAAATACAAATATCCCCACCTCTAGTGCAAAGCATGGAATGCACTCCCTTCCAAATTGTTTGAACTATGCCCTTTGTTGGTTTTAATGGTTTGACAGTGGATGAGTTGATATAGTTTTATTAATTTTTCAGCTAAAAGTGGTTTTATCTGGTTTTATCTTTTTAAAAAAATCTGGAATATTATCTTTTAGTGGAAAGGTGGGGTATAAATGTAACAAATAAATAAACTTCACACAATGAAGATGGCTGCTGTTTCATTGTATAGACCCTTTGTGATTAGAAGCAATATTTGAGCTGGTTGTGTCTTTTAAAAAATCAGTATGTTATATGCTTGGTACGGTATCTGCGCTCTTTCCTTTTTCAAAGGGAAACTGTCTCTGTTTTACATAAAGGCAGTTTGTGTAAATGAAACCCCTGATTTTTAAAAAAGAAAGTTTTTGTTTCATTCTTGATATAAGACAAAGAATCTCATTGGATTAGGACATCTCTCACTGAGGTGTATTCTTCTGTTGAGAGCATAAATAGAGGAAAACAAAGAAGTTAGTGAGTGTTCTTTACATTTTTTTTCAGTTCAGACATTGAACTACTGGACCCACAAAGGCCTTCATCATTGACTTTCAGCTGTAGTATACATTCCTGTAATGCATTTGTCAAGTAGGAGCTTGAAGTAACTGCTTTCTTAGCTACGTGACTTGACACAAACACTTCATAAGGCTCCACAGTTTTAAAATTAGTTTTTTAAAAATAACAGATGACAAAATCATCCATCATCAGTAACATATCTCCTTCAGTTGGCCAGTGTTCTACATTTATCTTTTCATAATCTTGCAATAAATGCGCAAAATTAGATTTTATTGAGAGATATTCTGTAGAATCTATAGGTAAAGGTAAAGGTTCCCCTTGACAATTTGTCCAGTCATGTCTGACTCTAGGGAACAGTGCTCATCATAGTTTCCAACCCATAGAGCCAGCGTTTGTCAAAGACAGTCCTCCGTGGTCACATGGCCAGCACGACTAGACATGGAACGCCATTATCTTCCCACTGTGGTGGTACCTATTTATCTACTTGCATTTTTGCATTTTGCATGCTTTCAAACTGCTAGGTTGGCGGGAGCTGGGACAGGCGATGGGGGCTCACTCCGTCGCGTAGATTCAGTCTTATGACTGCAGGTCTTCTGATCTTGCAGCACAGAGGCTTCTGCGGTTTAACCTGTAGCAGCACCACGTCCCCTGTAGAATCTATAACTGCTATGTAAATATTTGATAAAACTAACCATTTTGATATGAGGTAAATTTCTTTTTGGGTTATTACAACTGGGGATCTTAACTTATAATAAGAACTTGTGGTTCTGGTATGTTGTCAAGTAAGTAAGTATGGAAAATCTTCCTGAAATGAAGAAGGAAGAAGGAGGAATGATTGTTCCAGGATATGAAAATCTATCTAGTCTTGATTCCGTTATGATTTTCTAATTTCCACCTGCATTATCTTCCTGTCTTTGTCTTGTATCAGGCAGAGAGAGGCCATCTTTTTCAGCCTCTTATATGGACTTGTGTGTATTTTAACACACAGTTTTTGCTTTCTGACCCCTTTTAAAAGCATTTTTCCTGTGACTATAGCATGCTTGTCTACTTTTTCAGATACACGTTTTCAGGTTGTGTGTATTTTTTTGTGTAAAATGGAAAAAGGGCAAAGAGAATTAAAAGGATCTGCTGCTCACAAGCTCTTCCAGTTGATGGGAAAGTAAAAGATCTGGGCATTTATACTCTCGCACGTCACAAAGTGGATACATTAATCAGTTCATATAAATGTATTTTCCACTCTTGGTTCTGATGGAGAACTTCATCCCTTCCACCCACTCTATTTCAACTTCTGGGGTCTGCATTAGGGAACAATCAACAAACTAATTGGTGATGTCAGGAGCAGGTATTTGCAGAGTACAGATAAGTAATGTAAAAAAAAAAAAAGGAAAGGGCTAGAAATGCTTTGGCAGTTTGCATTTACAGTATTTTTGTCTTTATATCAGAACTGACAGCATGACCAGATAGCTTTATATGGAGTTCTTTAGACAAAACACACTCTTTCATTCAGATACCTTTCCCTACCCATTATCTGGATGGCACCACCAAAGTGGAGAAGGCTAAATTACACTGATCAGCATTAGAGGTCCTCCAAATTAGAATATTTAGAGATTGTTCAATAATAGTAAGTGTTCCAAAGTATGTGTGTGAAAGATTCCTGTAATAATATATGTATTTGTATGCATTATGCATCATATAAATCAGTTTCATTACATAATAAAGATGGCTACAAGAAATTTAAGTACCATGTGCCATAATAAAATATTGCTATTTATGAATGTATCACATACACTGATGAACATCTGATCTGGCAATTCAGACATATTGGAAATAGCATATAATTTGAATTGCTGATCCTGATGCACTTGTCATATGAAAGGATACCCTGTTCATTAAACTCCAGTTAAAATCATTAATTTGTTCCTGGAGGTTGCATTTAATGCACATAATCCAGGGATAGACAATAAGAGATGTTGGCCAAAATCTCTGTTGCTTAGTGTAGTAAAATGCACTGTAGTAGGCTTATTGGATCAGTGGAGATTTAGGGAGTCAAGTCCATACTTTTCACTGTTTCAAATGGGTCTACACTAACTGCAGCCTTCTATGCTAAAGTTGAATTTGAATCAATGAAACCTATTTTAATCAATGAAATATATGGAGAAAATGACTCACTAAATCCTTGTTGTTTCAATAGGCCCTCTCTAGTGTGACTCACTATGTTAAACATGATTCAAAATGCTGGGAAGTGGCCCAACATTGCTGCGTAATATCGAGCCCACACTGCCAGCAGGAATAAAGATGCCAAGCATTAAACAGCAAAGGCCAGCCTGAATATTGATGGCACCAATGTCAGCAGTCAAGATGGTCTACTACTGTTCACAAGGAGACAACAAGCCAGGGAAAATCCCAGAAGCTGACTCCTTTCTTCATGAGTTAATCAAAGCAATTGTCATGGCCGCAGAACTCACAGAAGTTACAAAGCAGATTGTAAAATAGCCTTATATAATATCAAAGGTAGCTGGGTATACCTAGGCTCAAAATGTTAAAAACTCTGGTGCTCTCCAGAAAACAAACACAGAGGGGATCATGGGCATATCAGAACTTAGACGTTCTGGGCCACCTCTCTCCATTTATTACTTCTCTCTCTCTCTCTCTCTCTCTCTCTTTTAATCCCTCCTTTATAAGTTTCTCCTCCTATTTAGTAATTATCTTTTAGTGGAAAGATAAGTAGAGATAAAAATGGAACCACATAGAGAGTTGATTATGGCCTTCTTATTCAGTTTTATAATGTGTGCAGGAGATAAAGTCATCCTGAAGCCACCTAATTGCGTCAGATTTCAGAAGGATTTAATATATATATATTTTAATTCTGAGATTGCTACAAGTTTATTTATTTGAATTTGTACTACTTCTAATTTTAGCTTATTTTGCTTTTAAATCAAATTATGTATCTGTTACACATATATGCATATTTTGGGTAAGCTGTCCAGAGAGTTGATTTTACAGGGCAGCATAGAAATATGATAAATAAAAGAGAATTAATATTGCAATTGTCCCCTGATCCGATTCCTGATATGTACATGGACTTCCATAGAAAGTAGATGTTGCAAACTAATTCAGGTGGAAGGGGTCAGGTTTAGGCAGGCCTAGTTATTATTAGAATGGGAGATCACCAAGGACTACCAAGAACCTCCAGATAGAGCTAGGAAGCAATCCTGTCTAAAACTTTGGAGAACCTCCAGTAATCAGAGGTTATAATGCAGGGCTAGAAAGACCAATAATCTAACAGTAGAAGGAATGTCCCCATGTCTTTATGATCAGCTTTGCATGTCTCTGCCTTTTTTCTTTTTTTTTATTTTCTTTCTTTCTTTTTTTGGTCCTTCATGTGTTGGCCTTACAGTCGTAACAGTCTCATAGATATTAAGAAGAAAGCAAGAAAGGTACGCTGATCTCTAATACTTGAGATATATCTGATATTTTGAAAGGCTGCATGGAGACTGAAATGGGCAGTTTCAAAAAGCACACAGATTAGCAGAATAAGAACTCACTGTCCCAGGATCATCAGCAAAACTATATCTCAGACAATAACACAAAGGTGATAAACTATGAAGTATATACCTTCATGCTCATATCCTAATTTTCCCTTTTCATTCTCCTGTATGACTGGAGTAGAGAAATAAATCATCCACATTTATTTGAAGAACACACTATAGTTTCGTGCTGAATGTGGACAAATCATTCTGTGACAAATTGTTATTATTTTCAAGTAACTTGTTACACTTCCTTATTTTTAAAGGAAGTAACTCTTTACTTCTTGTCAAAAAGCAACACATTTGTAATATATTGCTAACAGTCCTGTTTCCCAGCAGGCAGAACTTTATGAAGTAGTTTGTAGTGTAGACTACTGTGGCTACTTTAATTCCAGTCCAAAAAGAACACACTCAGGACAGAGCCATAGCAGAAGTCAAGCCAAGCCAAGTTTTTTGTTTGTTTGTTTGCAAGGCAGTTCTAAACAAAGAGTTGCTAGTTCAATGTCAAAAGATAGTGCACAGTCTAAAAAGGAACCAGGCCAAAGTATTATAAGAGTCAAAGTCAGACACAGTTCAAGGTCATATAAAGCAGGGTTGTCATGACAGGAGTTATGGTACAAGGAATGCCCCAACAACAGGCACAGTCTGTAGCCTTGTTATAGTGTTGTATTCAGCAATGTATTTACGGTTTAAGTGCTGCTACAGTTTCCCAGGACCCCATCCAAGACATTCCATCTCTTGGTGAGGAGACTTCCATTCCTATGGAGCCTGGTTGCTCCCAAGGAAGACACTTCGTACAAGGAATCTTGTACTCTGCACTCCATCTGAGAGTCAAAAGCCAAGACTTGCCTTCACTCAGGTTTCACTCAAAAACTGGAAGTGGCTCAGACCTCCTCATCCATATATGGAGAGAAGCTTCTGCCATTTTGAAGTGCAGATTCAGGGACAACCAATTCCATTCCATTTCCAGAGTCATGGGGCTTGAACCCCTCTTTACTGGAAGAGTCTCTTTGCAGGAGTATGACACCACATCATAACTTTTAGTTATATTGATATGCAGATATGAGATATGTATGGCTAAACAGGCCCCCAAACTTCAAAAATGACCTACCATAAAGGAACATTTCAATCATGTAAACCCTGTTCTTAATTATGATACTAGCTGTAAGACTGTTTTCTAACAATACTGCTCTCACCCTAATTTATTACTTCCAAACCTCAAATTTGTGTCTCATTTTTGAAACAAAGGTCAATTCTGATCTAAATTAGTTTAAAGAAACTGGACTCAAGACCAGTTCTGCTCTGGTTTGTTAACTATCTTTCACTGGAAGAAACTAAAGTTTCTTGGATTCATCTGTACCATGTCCTTAATAGCGTGTCTGTATGTTTTCACTCTTTTCCAAAACATACAGTTGAGCAGGAGATCAAGATTCACCATGGCTCATTTCTGAGCACATAATTTTTTTTAAAAAAATGATTTGAACAGATCTAATGACCTGAAAAATGCTGAAGAAAGGACATACACAGCCCTGGATGCTTACATAAGGGAAGAAAGTTAGTCACACTACAAAACTAAATAAAAGTTATGTAGCAAAAGCTGACTTTTAAATGGTCTTTTCCAGGCTTTTTCAGGAAACACCAATGCAGACAGCGTGGTGTATTACAAACTTCAGCACTCCATCAAAGCAAGATTTCTGCGGTTTGTCCCTTTGAACTGGAATAATAATGGCCGCATTGGCATGCGGATTGAGGCCTATGGCTGTGCTTACAGTAAGTTATGTGGCTATTCTTCATCATTGTTTTGAATGACATAACTTGGAGTCTACAAATGTAGAAGCACGCATGTGTATTTGAATTATTTACAACACCTGTATATTGTGTTTGCATATAAGAGCTGTCTACAGCTTTACAATAGCTCTGTATGTTCTGGCATTTCAAAAGCTCTTCTGTGAATTACTTTGTAAAGATTGTGCTGTTAGCAACTTAAAGGTGTCTGGGACAAACACAGTGAAATAAGGAGTGTATAGAAAAATTAATCCCTGCTTAGCAGGGTTGGTAATACATTACTGCCTCTTCTTCTTTCCAGAATAATACATATTACTCCTGTTTTGCAACAAAGGTCTAAATGATTCTTTAAGAAGATTAAAAAAAAATACCATACATTTGTTCATAGCATAGCACTTGGCTGAGTATAAACATGCAATTAGTAAATAAAAGGCACAGATACGGCTTCTTTTAAGAAAGTACATGCACATTTTGCTGTGTATGTGTGCATTCCAAGCTGAAGGTCAGAAAAGGACAAATTCAATATGGCTAATATTTAGAGAAGTATGTGCTAATGTGGAAGATGACATTTTATTGCCAATCATTGGTAACGGGATTGTAGGAATAGTATAGGGATTAGGAGTCCCTACCAATGCTAATGAGTTTGCTAATTGATTTTTATTTATTTGCTGCACTGTGTCAAGGGTAGGTGACAAAATATTTAAAAAAGATTGAGCATGTAATTTGTTCCTCACTTGATGCCCTACTTTTAATGGTCTTAATTTCCTGGTGGAAATGTACTGAGAGTTCTAGTGCCTTTCTTTTAACAGTTGTTCCCAAAATAAAAACTCTTGTAGCTTGATTTTTTGTGTGTTTACTTGTATGGAATGCCAATTGAGTTGGATAGGAGCCACTTCCAGGTAAGACAAATGAAACCTTTATAAATTGCTTATCGCTGGGGTGGTGTTGCAAGATATGAATGGCTGGTTTATCCTGTAGATAATACAAAGTGAGCACATTTTCGAGCACCTTAGCCATAAACAGCCGGCACTAATGGATTAATTGAAGTTGGGCTTACACAGGACACCTTCTCCAAGGATTGTGCCCAGCAGGTCTATTAAGTAATGTTAAAAAGTACCTTTCCATTTACTTGGGGGAAAAACACACCTTCTGGGTTGAAAAATGTCTTCATATATTATTGGCTGTCTGCTACATCTTCATTTCTTTCAAGAACCATTACCTCCTTTGTCTTCTTTACTTATGCAAAGTGAATACTCTGTGTGCTTGACTTGAGTATTATCTGCTCCTTTATGTGCTTCCAAGACAGGTTTTGACAGATTGTGACAGATATTATTTCAGATGATATCATTGGTCTAAAGTCTTCTCTTTTTCATGAAGTGAGTATATAGAACTTTGAAAGGGACTAGATAATATGTCAGGAGATGAAAACAGTACCTTCTTAATGCTGAAATGTCCATTTATCTTCTGGCAGCTAGGACATTTTTTAATATGGTAAAATGTGCACATACACACTTGCAGAACAAGATGTTCTCCTGTTCAGAAACATAAAGAATACTGCTTTTTTCAATTAATATTGACTATATACACACTCAACCCTGAGTGCTCACTGGAAGGATAGATCCTGAAGCTGAGACTCCAATACTTTGGCCATCTCATGAGACGAGAAGGCTCCCTGGAAAAGACCCTAATGTTGGGAAAGTGTGAAGGCAAGAGGAGAAGGGGACGGCAGGGGATGAGATGGTTGGACAGTGTCACCGAAGCTACCAACATGAATTTGACCAAATTCCAAGAGGCAGTGGAAGACAGGAGGGTCTGGCGTGCTCTGGTCCATGGGGCCACAAGAGTCGGACATGACTTAATAACTAAACAACAAAATATATACTAAATAGCTATCCCATTTGTACTGAGTTACCCCTCTGCTTGAAAACTTGGATCTTTTCCCTCCCCACAAAGACCAGCAAGAAAGTTGAGAAAAGTAATTTCCATGCAGATTACAGTTATGGGAAATGGGAAAATCCATCCATCCATCCATCCATCCATCCATCCATCCATCCATCCATCCATCCATCCATCCATCCATCCATCCATCCATCCATCCAGAAAGAAAGAAAGAAAGAAAGAAAGAAAGAAAGAAAGAAAGAAAGAAAGAAAGAAAGAAAGAAAGAAAGAGCTATCTTTTACCAGGTTCTACCATTAGGACAGTGTAGGAGAGGGGAAAAACATGGAGAGATTTACATCATTTCCTCTCAGCCTCCTGAACATGCTTAGTGGGGAGCTATGGGTATGGGGGAGGGAGCCTGCATGGATTTGGATATGGATATGGGAGAGGAAGTATGCAACCCGTGAACACTTACTTCACTGATTTGCACCAGGGAATGAGCTCTGCTGCTATCTTTACATTGCTATTCATTTTGCACACTGAGTTTCTTTGTTGTCTTCCTCTCCCAGCTCCAATCATCCAGTCTTTTTGGGGATTTTTTGATCTTCAATAATTCATTGGAGAGCTCCTGCCTCCACAAAAGTGGTGATGTTAATGTCTACGGCTCTTAATAAGCCCTAGCAGTAAACCAAAGAGGAAATTTTCTCCTAGGTCCTCCTGTTAAAAGACAACACTTGCCCCCACAAGAAATCAGACAGCCATTTTTTTTTCATATTCTTCTCCTGGTAACACATAAGAAAAGGCAAAGTGAAACCTTTCTCACATTGTGAGATAGCCCTTATCTCTGTTCCTTTCAGAGTCCGAGGTGGCCGATTTCGATGGGAAGAGTTTCCTGCTCTACAGATTTAACCCCAAGGCCGTGACAGCACTAAAAGACATAATTTCTCTGAAGTTTAAAACTAGCCAAAGAGATGGGATTCTGCTCCACAGAGAAGGACAGAATGGAGATCACATCACATTGGCATTAGCTAATGGAAAGCTTTCCTTACTCGTCAACATAGGTACCAAATGCATCTTCGTAATTACATATATACTGTACTTAACAATCTATCTTGAAAATATAAGAATGGGGAAAAGCCAAAACTAACCATATGTTGCTGTCAATGCCATTTATTGCAAGAGACCTAACAGTGTGTTTTTCTCCTCTTGAAGGTGATGCTAAAATGTATTCTGCTGATGCCCAGATAAATATCACTCTGGGCAGCCTTTTGGATGATCAGCATTGGCATTCAGTCCTCATTGAACATTTCAATAATCAAGTGAACTTTACAGTTGATAAACACACTCACCATTTTCATGCAAAGGGAGAATTCAATTATTTGGACCTTGATTATGAGGTGTGAAAATTCTCTTTCATTTATTAGATTTGTTATCTTTGCTATGTGAATGCAATTATGCCATTGAAGGAGATCATGGGTTGTTTAAGAGGACTTTCTAGCATCCAGACTCTTCTTAAAGGTTGTCCTCTCATGGATAAATAAGCATGCTTCTCTCCCAGGATATGTCTACTATTACATGTGCATGTCACCGCATTTGGATGTGGCGACATGCACATACAGCAGTAGCAAGAAATACAGCTTTGCACTTGTTGAGGTGGCAAAGATAATTTGCACCCCAAAGATCAGTGCTCCAGATACATTTACATCAGAGGCAAAAGTTTTTCATTTACCTGTTGTAATTGGGGCAGGGCAACTGAGGCTTTGACAGAGGGCAGAAAACAGTGCTGCTAGAAGGGTGCAAACCTGTTCGTTGGCATTTGCTCCTGGAGGGGTGCAAACCCTCCTACACTGAGTGCATATACTGGCTCCACCCAATCCTCTTAAGGCAGAGGAAAGTACAGAGCAGATGGGCTTAGCAAAGAAACAATATTGCAGGCTTATGAGTTCCTTCCCATTCTCTTGTCCTCTCCGCACATATGCCAGTCTCCACATTACTCAGACTTGATCAACAGAGTGCTGAAGCCCCAGGTGGCAATTTGCCTAGTTACATCTCTGTTAGTCAAAACACATGCACATCCATTCCCCACTTACTGGTATACCAGCAATGATGCTCAGGGAGTAGAAGGGTTGGATAACAAGCCTGAGGACAAAACAGCCAGGAGATGCAATCCTATCTTGTCTCCAAAGTAAACACCTTCAGCATGCTGTGCAGATTTCCAACTCTAAATATACTGTACTAGAGTGCATTTAGTCAGGCTTTATCTATCCATTGCCATTGGCAGCAAGAGGGAAGCTCTTAGCCTTGTCCATTCTGTTATGCATTTTTTTTATGCAAGCAACAATGAGTCTGGAGGTACCTTCTCACATATAGGTTCCATACTATGACTTAGAACCTGGCATAATCTAGATTCTTGCTTCTGGGCAGACTATATACAGAAGCAGAAACATCTCCTTTTAAGACTCATCACTGAAAGTATGAGAAACTGATGACAGAGGTGGCAAGGCCAGGGTCTCCCCTCTAAGCATGTGAGAGTGGTGGATAAGAAAACTTTTGAACAAGGCTGATGTCTGTAAATTCCAGCTGAAGTGGCCTATGGCCAGGAATATACTCCAGAAATTGTGGCCACAAGCCACAACATCTGAAGGCAGTAGTCCAAATGGAAGCCTTATCCCCTGTCAGTGACTAGAAAGGGTGACAATGGCCACATTTTCCCTTCAAAACAGAGTCAGGTTCATAACATTCTTCAGTTATGAAAGCTTCTATATGGGAATAAATTGTACTATATGGGAATAATTTCCATTATCACTGGAAAAGAAAAGGAAAGGAGCAAAACTGCATGAATGGGGTTTGTCACCAATAAGTACTTCAAAAGACAGGAGAGCTTCTTTATGCATCCAAAATACTGCCTTCTATACTGCCTGGAGGGAGAAAATCTGATTTTGTAAGAATTTGCCTGCACAATATAATGCATAATGGTGTGACATTGTGTTCCTTTGTGAAAATAAATAAGTCACATATATTTCTGAAGTGTACATGTATGTTTCATCATCGATTTTACTGTATTTTTCTGTGTATAAGATGCCCCCATGTATAAGACACCCCCCACTTTTCTAATCCAAAATTAAAAAATCTTAGTGGGGCTTAGCAAGTGTAGGGGGAAAGGGATCAAAGCGCTGCAGGATCACTCTGATCCCTGCTTTCCCCTCCACTTCTTTTTGTTCCCTCCTCAGCTTACTTCCGTGTATAAGATGACGCTCAATTTTAGTCTAAAGATTTTAGACAAAAATATAGTCTTATACATGGAAAAATACGGTAACTATTTCTGTTAGATTTCAGGTAAGCAGTTGCATGTCATATAAAAGATGTCTCACAATTTAATGAGGAAAACTTTTGTAAAAGAGATATGAAAACTAGGAAATAGTGTGAAAATGGATTCAGAGACTTTGGATAGTAAATTACACATATTGTATTTTTCTATCACTGTTGACATATTCATCCTTACATAACAGTAAGCACATTTTAGCATAATGGGTTTGATTTCTGACTAAATGTTTGCAGGATTACACTTTATTATTAAAAAAAATGTCCCTTCTAAAGTAAGGCCATTTTTTTCTTGGTGGAAATGAGAACCTGCCACAATAAAAAAAAATTAAGGCTAATATGCTTAAAAGATTTTCTTTAGCTTCTTATTTGCTGTGCTCTTTCTGTGGCCTGATTCTAACCTATATTTTAATTTAAATTGTTTGACAATGGAAAATCCTTTTTTTAAAAATACCTTGATTCTAAATTGACCGATATGGAGTTGCCACTGTTCTTCCATTGCTAAGATTTTTGTTACCAACATTGCCAGCAGATTGTCAGAAAATTATTTAATGCTGTTATTGATTTTTCTTCTCTTTCTAAGCTCAGCTTTGGAGGGATTCCAGTGCCTGGAAAATCAGGGATATTACAATGGAAAAACTTTCATGGATGTTTTGAAAATCTTTATTACAATGGTGTGAATATTATTGATTTGGCCAAGAGACATAAACCTCAAATCAACATTATGGTAAGACATATTTGTCTGTTTGTCTGTATGCGTTCATCTGGAGGTAGAGAGGTAGATATAGCCAGATGTAAATGCAGATGTAGACCTCAATATAGGTGTAGGGAACTCTCTTTACTAACATTTTTTTTAAAAAATTCTAATCATAACCTAAAAGTATGATCCACAATTTCAGATAGACAATTGTACTTAATGTCTTCAGTCCTTTAAAAAAGGGTAATGTAATGAAATTCATAGAAGGAAAGTTTCCTGCTCCTTATTCACAGACTCCTGTGTGCGCATGTACACACACACACATACACACACACACACACGGGTCCTTTTGAGGTTGTATGAACAAGGAGGCTGCTGATGGAAGGAGGATAGGAAACCTTTCTATGAACCTATGTTAACATTGTAAGATTTGTGTCCATTATTGTTCTTTCCTTCTCAGTGGTTTCATACCATCCTGCACAGTTCAGGAGACCTTGTCCCTGAGTACCCACAGAGGCTCTTCAGAGAATTTCAGTGCGTTAGGGGCGTAAACCTTCACTTATCTCCTCCTTGCAGGCAAGGACAAGAAGATGTGCAGTTCTCCTCACCTTGTGAAGACAGCATTACATTTTGTTGCAGTCGTAAATCATTTGTCACATGTGAAGACAGTTTTGGTGGAAAATAAAGTTTGAGCCAAAAGTAATAAAACAACAATGAAAATAAAATTGGAATGTCTATTACTTTATATCATGGCCTCAGGTGGGCCTCTTTTAACGTTCTTGACAATCAGCTGGTTGTCCTGTGCTTGCTGTTTGTGATTACAGAGATCTTATCGAAGTCTTTTGACTCCCTCTTGGCAGCAGTCAAGGAGTCTCACAAGGCTACTAGATTTCTCATTGAATCATCTCATGATGCTGAGATAGCTTTAAGGAGGTTGCAGGAGGGATAAGAAAATATGAAAATATCCTTTCTCTCAATTTCCTTAATCATCTCCTTAAATGATCATCGCATAGCATGGCCTCCACATTGTCCATGCTTTAAACAAACAAACAAACAAACAAACAAAAACCACAAGGTCATAGGGCATTGTTTTGGTCCCAATACATTACATTGGCTGGAATGAAACATGCACCAGTGACATAAGACAAGAGATTTATTGAGATTTTCTGTTTTCGAATTGTTTCATTTAGATTTGTATGCTGCCTTGAGCTCTTGTGATATGGGGCAGGCTTAGAATAAGAGAATGGTAAACCAATTCTGAGTGCTCTCTTCCTAGAAAACCCTGAACAGAGTCTCCAAAAGTCAGAATTGACTTAACGACACACAATTATTATTATAAATATTGTAAACAAACAAACAAACTTTGGATATTATTTACAGCTTTTCATATGGCAGTGACGTAAGACACCCACCTGTAGGTCTAGCTCTGAAAATTCTGCATCCAGACAGGGAAATAAAACATCTCCATGTGGTGTATGAGGGTTAAGACAACTTACTTTAGCAGCAAGGCGAAAAAGAGATGGAACTGGCTTCAATTTAAGGCTTCCAGTTTAATGGATTTGCAGTACAGTATTAGCTGTAGGTCACATAGCAAAAGGGACATGGTGGCGCTGTGGGCTAAACCGCAGAAGCCTGTGCTGCAGGGTCAGAAGACCAAGCAGTCGTAAGATCGAATCCACGCAACGGAGTGAGTGCCCGTCACTTATCCCAGCTCGCACCAACCTAGCGGTTCGAAAGCATGCAAATACAAGTAGATTAATAGGGACCACCTCGATGGGAAGGTAACAGCGTTCCGTGTCTAAGTCGCACTGGCCATGTGACCACGGAAGATTGTCTTCGGACAACACACTGGCTCTGTGGCTTGGAAACGGGGATGAGCACCGCCCCGTAGAGTCGAATACGACTGGACAAAAATTGTCAAGGGGAACTTTTACCTTTACCTTTACCACATAGCAAAAGCTGGCTTTTGTGTAAAGAAACTGCAGCAAGAGGGGAGCAATTGATGAGAGCTCACAAGTCCTTCCATCCTCAGAGCATAGAGCACACTGAAACATACACAATTTTCTCTTGTAAGACCTTTCTCTTATAAACTTTGTGTTACCTTCTTAATACATCAGTAGATCAGTTTTCTGCAAAAAGACTGTACAGTTCCTGTTTAAAATTGATGGAAGAAAATTCAGAAAAGTTTTCCACCAAAAGCACTAAAAAGCAGGGCTATTAAATCTCCCTAGGTGAACTTTTCACCAGTCTCTATTTCCTCACGGATCGTAAAATATTTATCAGCCTTGCATGATATGGAGCTTCACGCAACTACTTATGGAGGGACACATTTTTAAAAGCCCATGCTCTTTCCCTCCAAATGCACAGAACTTACAGTTTAAACAAGAGGCAGGAGCTACTTATCTAAATCCCTGAATAAAGACATGATTCATATGAGCCATTCAGTTTTTCAAAGCTTTTTGTTCACCATGAGACATTTGTAAAATCTAGACTGGAGAGCAGAAGTGGGCAACGTGTATTTCTCCAAAGGCTGGATTGAAACCCTCACTCCTTCCAGTTGTTTATTCTAGTTGAAATGATGCTCCTTGCAATTTAATAACATCTGGAGAGCCACAAGTTGCCAACCCCTGCTCTGTGAAGAAGACTAAAAGTTTGTGTTTGAAAGATTTATTATTCTGCTTCATTCATATGTTTTATTGCTGTGCTTGTAATAATATAAATATGCATAGTAGCAAAAAAAAATGCAGAATTATTTCCTAAGCATGTATAAGGCAGTTTATAGAATGCATTACTTTCCTTATTAAATCTCAGGAAAATATATTTAGAATGCAAAAGTGCCAGGATGTGTTCCTCCATAGAATTTACTGCTAAATAGATAGTTCCTAGGCATCCGTCCAAAATATGTCAAGGGAGGACTACACAGATGGTGTATCATTTTGTCTTTCAAAATTTGTATTAGACTTCTGATTGGCTTTCCACGACGGAATGACTTCAAGTATATTATTAATTAATCTGTGGTTGCATTTATAGAAAAGTGTTTTAAATTTTTTTTCTGGTCATATTTTATAACATTCTGTCTTTTTTATGACTTACTTGTAAAAGGTATATAGATAGTGTATTCCCAGTGTAGTGTGTTAGAATGATGGATTAGGACTCTGGGGAACATAGTTTTTATCCCTACTTGGTAATGGAAGCTCACTGGGGGATGGAACTGGTAAAACCACTCTTTCAATAACTCACGTACTTTGAAAGTCTTGTTAGGGTTTCTGTAAGTTCTGACTTGACAGCACAGAACACATGCACAACACACACATATAGATAGTAAAATGTGGTAGAGATTGATAGGTATAATTGTAGAAGACAATACAAATGCTATTTGTCTGATTAGTTTTAAAACAATATCACTTGTAATACTGCAAAGGGGGTGGAGGAACAAACATTACTACCAGCAGTAATTACTACTATTATTAGTATCATTACTACATTCACTGTTTCAGGGTTCCATTTCTTTTTGTTAAATTTACATCATGTATCTTCACTAAAAGTAGTGTTCAAAGTGGTGAACAAAACACACCTAAAATATAAATGTTAATTTAACATGGACAAAAATAGGCTGGCCTCATCTGAGGAATTTTCAGTACAGTATAAAGCAAACGAGAGTGAGAGAGTGTTGGAAATAGCTGATAGGAAGAAAATATGATGAAATTAGAAAGGGAATTGAAAATAAAACAGCTAGCATTATAATTCCATTGTACAAAACACTGGTTAAGGCCATACCTGGAGTACTGCATACAGTTCTGGTCGCCGCACCTCAAAAAGACATAGTGGAACAGGAGACAGTGCAGACGAGAGTGACTGAAATGATGACTGCGCTGGGACACCTCCTTTATGAGGAAAGGCTACAGCATTTGGGGCTCTTTAGTCTAGAGAAAAGGTGTCTGAGGGAGAGACATAATTGAGACTTAAAATGATGCAGAGGAGGGGTAAAGTGGATAGAGGGAAGCTTCCCCCCCCTCACGCAATACTAGAACCAGGGGACATCCACACAAATTGAATGTTGAGAGAGCGAGAACAAACAAAAGAAATTTTTTTACCCATTGTGTTGTTAATCTGTGGAACTCCTTACCACAGGATGTGGTGATGGCATCTGGCCTCGTCATCGTCGTCTAGTCGTTTAGTCGTGTCCGACTCTTCGTGACCCCATGGACCAGAGCACGCCAGGCCCTCCTATCTTCTACTGCCTCCCGGAGTTGTGTCAAATTCATGTTGGTTGCTTCGCAGACACTGTCCAGCCATCTCATCCTCGGTCGTCCCCTTCTCCTCTTGCCATCACACTTTCCCAACATCAGGGTCTTTTCCAGGGAGTCTT